AGTGTGCGTCCTCTTTGGAATAAGTTTCAAGACCATATACTCGAAAAAACTAATGTCAATTTGGATCTCGATGACTATAAAATCTTGTTTGGAATAAAATGCACAACGGAAAGTAAAATTTTTAATTTACTTATTATGTTTGGAAAACTATATATTTACAAGTGCCTGAAACAAAAAAAGACCCCAAGCTTTCAAGGTCTTTTGGGTTACATAAAATTTATGTATCATGTTGAAAAAAATATTGCTTTGCGTCATGGATCTTGCACATATGACAACTTTGTTAAACAATGGGCACAATGGTTACCACTTTTTGTTGAAGGGGAATAGCAGTAGCATCCCTTTCTTTATCTTTTGGGTTTAAGTTTTCTATTATATTTTATTTAATTTTGTTTTGTTAATCAGCAGGCACTTAGAGATGAAGTTACTATATTTGAGTGAAATGGACAGACAACTAATTAGTCTATTTTTGTAAACACAACTGTGTAATGCAAGGATAATATACATATTAGCAGTGACCAAGTATGAGTGTTGTGCGTACGTGGGTATGTGTGCGTGTATGAAAGGAACATATATATATACTCTATTTGTGTTTATTTATTTACTTATTATTATTTTTTTTCCATAATAAAAAAAAAATAAAAAAAAAAAAAAAAACTTGACATTTATGGTGGGACTTTTTAATACACCACCGAAATTGGAGTGCATTTACCATACGTTACCCTATACTCATACGTCCAAAATTTGCCTTAGTCCCCAGAATTGTGACAACAATATTTTTTCCAGTGTCTCCTTTTTTTCGAAGTAGGGAATTAGGAATTTATTTATTTATTTATTTGTCACAACCAATGACGTTTTGTTTTTGTTTGAATTTTGTTTGACTGTAGTTTTATTTTTCATTTGTTTATTCATTTGTTCACTCATTTGTCGGGCTTACAAACATAATAGTTTTCGTTTGGGTAAGTGTCCGCTACGAACAGATATCCGACGATACAACCGTTTACATGTTTATTGTTTATGTTTTTTCTTCTTCTTCTTTTCTAAGACATTGACGAATGTCAACAGCAGCCTCCGGTCTGTGGCCACTCCTGTGTGAACACACCCGGCTCGTATCAGTGTGGTTGCCCGGATGGTTACCGGTTACATCCCAACGGCATTCATTGTATCGGTGAGTCCATGAGCAGTCCAAAATGCCAAACACTGGAAATGAAATAATTTGTTAAGTCCGATTTCCTTGGCGTTGATGCATTATTAATTTACGGTTAATGCCAGTTTTCCGTTTTTATCCCCATCACACTGTTACTTGAAATTAGTATATACGATCATTTAATAAACCGATAATTAGTTTCAATTTGGAGTGACATATCGTTTTTCATGATTCTAACCATGCCAAGACTCCCAGGCCAGTTCTTACATTCATGGACAGTACTCCCTACAATTTTTTTTAATCAAAATAGGCAAAAAAATCATCATCCAAACTTCCAAATCAAGGTACTTAGTGTTGCGTTTCAACGTGTACTTTCACTTATCATTTTACGCTTCAAACAAACATTTCCCACCCGTCTTTTTTTTCAGACATAAATGAATGCAGAATAAACAATGGCGGATGCTCCGACACGTGTTATAATACGCCCGGATCTTTCAATTGTAAATGCCCACGTGGATTTCAGCTAATGGCCGGCGGCAAGATTTGTGAACGTAAGTCAAGACAAACTATAGGAGAACACGTGGGGTTAATTTAGGTTCACATCGAGTTGTCACTAGATGTTTGTGATATATCTCTGGCTTATTCTACGAACACATCCATGGACTGTAGGAATAAGATTTTAATGACGCCATTACCCAGGTGTCCCCTGGTAAAGAGTGGCAAAAGTTTGACTTGAAACATCCTAAACAAAATCCCGGCATAATAACAAAACGCGCTTTCAATCAGTAATTAGAAAAAAATCATCAGATAAGTACGTGCACTAAAGACCCCGTTAAAAAAAAAACTTGCAGGCAAGATTTTGCAGCGAAACTTAAATATTTCCCTTTTATTTATCTATATTAGAAAAGTACAAATGTCTTGGGTTCGGATGTGCACACAACTGCCACCAGGCGGAGGTTTGGTATGAACCTTACTGTACGTGTAACTTGGGCTATAAGCTGGCAGATAATGGAAAGGACTGTGTGGGTAAGGACATCGCTAGCTTTGCAATCACTGTCAGTTATCTCCTGCATATAACTTTATTTATGTATTTATTTTTTTTCTTTGGTCTGTGTATTTTTAATTTACTACTTATCTTTTTTCATTTGTTCATTGGTTTATTATGTATTCATTTGTTTGTTTGCAACGCTTAATTCAAAGTCCACGTACTAGTAAACTGCATACAGTATATTTCTATTTACAATGAACGTGTGAGTTGGTATTGCAGATATTCTGTTGGAAATGGAGGCATTTAAAACCAACAACTATCGGTAATTCACGGCCATGACAACAGGATTCAGTTTAAGAACCCGTGCTTAAATGCAGTTTAATACCCGCTATAATTCCATTACACAGATATGAACGAATGTGGATTCTTTCACCGATGTGACACTAGTTCAGGAGCTACTTGTGTGAACGTAGTTGGGAGTTACAAGTGCGTCTGCAATGAACCAAATAAAGTCCTCAGTGCTGACAAATTAAAATGTGAATTAAAGGGTAAGCCCAACGTTCTAAAGAAGGCATGATCTAAACAGACGCACACCTGTGTCTAGTTCTTGCTTATTTATCAAAAGGGTTATTGTGTTCTAAGCTGTACAGTGTGCAGTGTATGTTGCTAATAATAGTAATGATCGTGATGTTTTCAGTTTATTATAGAATATACAATAGAAATTCATTTCTGGTAGCTCGTTTAACTGTGTATACCGTTTCTATGGGTCAGGGTAACCTCGGACTGGTAACTCACTGACCAGATATAATTGAACAAAATAAACCACAAAAGTTGTTCAAATGATGTAAAATCGTTGTATAACTTCATATGTTATTTATTTCTTTAAGTAGCCCATAAAAGGTTCTTTAAAGAAAGAAACACATGACTAAAATTTCCCTCTTCGCGAGTTGATCAGTGCCAACCATTAAAATCCATATGGGGTCACAACACAAGTTACTCGCTCAATTATTCTATGTTCATTTGAATTAAATCCTTTTCTAGCGCAAGTGACCTGCTCGTCTTTGGGGTGCAGTAACGGATGTGACGACACACGCTACCCGCCTGTTTGCACGTGTCCCAATGGTTACCGCCTGGACACCAATGGACGAGATTGCTCAGGTGATTGTTTACATGCACCGTGATGCACGTGTATGTAAAATTCAGCTTTTTCCCCTCTCTATTGACTCACGTAGGCGAAAAAGGTCCTGCTCACCGTTAATTTTTTAATTCATCTATTTATTTAATTCTTCATGTAAATTTATTTACATGCTTTGATCCTAGAACATCACTGAATATTGTACAATTCCCCGCCCTCCACACCGTTTATTGATATTCATCAACCTCACAAGTTTATGTCACTAAGGGTTCCTGTCTTATGAGAAGTAAAGTAACATAAAACTTATACAGATCAATGTTGTTTTAGATGTGGACGAGTGCGCTGAGCAAACCCATGGCTGCACGGACACGTGCATCAACACCGCTGGAGATTACCGCTGTGAGTGCCCGGCTGGTAAACGACTCAGCAACGATCTGAAGACCTGCGTCAGTAAGTGTCGGGTTTCCATCATTAAAATCCACAGATATTTAATTACCACGTGTCATTTCTCGAAATGGTGAAATCGAGTACTCAACCCGCCTTCCCAGCTACTGCCCTCCCCTCTTGCAATTTCAACTACATGTAAATCAACTACCACATGCCTTTTCAGCTCCTCATCCTCTGCCCAAGTTTCAACTATTTCAACTATCACGTGGCATTTCGCGGTATGGTTTAACCGCATCCTCACCTCCCCCCCCCCCCCCGTCCCCCTCCCTCCTGGCCCCCTAAAGCTACAGCTAGTCATCATTCCTTATCAATTCCAGGCCTTTCACACGTGGCGTGTCCCATGCCGACACTATTCAGGGGCAGCGTGAACTGCACGTCCACCTCGTACAACCCAGGCACCATATGTACCCGGTCCTGCAGAACAGGGTTCGCATTGTCCGGTCCTCCCAGCATCAGGTGCCAGGACAATGGAGTCTGGACCCCCGACATCCCGGCACAGTGTACAGGTAAGTAATGGCTGCACGGGTTATAATATCATAAAGCCTGCAACATGGTGTTGTCTCAAGTTTTATGGTTTTATACCGGTAAGTACCATTGAAAAAATCCTACATACAAAGTACATGTAGATGGAATTTGTATAATGTCTCTTTTTTTATTAAAAAAAGACCTTGGTTTTCAGATATAGACGAGTGTGCAAACAACAATGGCGGCTGCGAACAAACCTGCATCAATTTCCTTGGCCAACACGCATGCGCGTGTCAATCAGGATTCCTCCTCAGAACGGACCGAAAGCATTGCAAAGGTGACGAAAAACATTATTTTTTGTTTCTTAACAACGGGTTTCAGGCAGGCATATTTAAAAGGTTACCAACTATATATTTCAGTACCGAGTTACAAAGAAAATTCAATTATACCGGTAAGTCAAAAGAAACGCAAAGAATACAGTTAATGCATCGTACCCACAAGACCATTCTACATGTATAGTCAGTGTGTGTTCTACACGGATACCCTGAATGCACATTTTCATTTTCTATTCCCATAGACGCCGAAAACCCAGAGTTCACAAACTGCCCAAGCAACATAGAAGTCAACACGCAATTGTCCTACGCCACTGTCACGTGGCCGGAAGTGACATACACAGACAATGTCGGGGTCGTAAACGTGGTTGGTCCACAAACTAATGAACAGAATTTTACCATCGGAGTTCATAAGGTGAAAATCACGATATTCGATGCTGAAGGAAACTCGGCACTTTGTTCCTTTAAGGTCCACGTGAAGGGTAAGTATTGGCGTTTGTGCCTTATCCTGCGTAATAATATGTGTTATCTTATGAGAATTTGCCAACTGAATTTTTTTGTTTTTCTGAAAACCGACATATATTACAACTGTTGAATTTCCATAACATTTTCTACGATGGAAGTAAGTTTATTTCTTCATCCAGTCTAGCAGTACTACTTAGACTATAGTCTATTTAGACTATACTGACAGGAATGACGTCCGGAAACAAACCAGATTATAATCCTAATTAATGGTTATACTTTTTAATATTTCATTCACTAAATTGACAAATGTTTTAGCGATCATGTTTATTCTCTTCCTACGTTTATTGTTGATTCTGACCACGTCCGTAGGCTTGTGAGGGGTGTTGGGGGGGGGGGAGGTTTCTGGGATTCAAAAGAACCGATCTTTTGGCATGAAAAGATCCACTCTGAACCAGAGGTATTCTGCCATTTCTCATGTTGGATCAATTAAGGGGTTACAGTTCAACTCTTTTTCAGCAAAAATCAACCTACTCAGTAGCTCTTTCAAAATTGCTGGCAAATCCTCTGCTGGTGCATAAAGCTTATCCCCCCCCCCCCCCCAACCGTTCAAATAACTGAACTATGGTGTTCGTCTTTTTATTCCCCCGTTTATCCGTTTTATTCATTAGATTTGGAACTGCCTGTCGTCAGCAATTGCCCGGATGACATCAACAGGTTTGTTCTGGAGGGTGTCATGGTGAAGGAGGTCACATGGCCCGAGCCAACTTTTTCGGACAACTCCGGCAGCGTCACGGTGACGGATAACATTCCCACCGATAATCTGTTTCCCATGGGAGAGTACAATGTTAGATACCAGGCTGCCGACCCGAGTGGGAACATCGCCGTCTGTACCTTCTTGGTAAACTTGACACGTGAGTATGCAACCATAAGCTGTACAAAAGTATTCTCACAAGACTAATGTAGACCCAAATAGTTAAACTGTTTACCGTCCTGTTCGCAGAAAGACCCATTGTATATATATTTATGTTTTGGTCTACTCTTTATTCTGTCAGTATATATATATATATATATATATATGTATTAAGTTGGCATTTTGCAAAGTAGGCCTTAAACGAGAAATCTTTTGAGTCGCACTTGACTGCCCAAAAACTCAAACTTGATTAAGTGGAGATGTACAGGCTGTCTGTGCATTGAAGCACTTCGATGGACTCACAACGTTAAGTTAATGTTATGAATGAGGTAAATGAATTCAAAATGACGCATGTTTCCAATTGTTTGCAGTATTTCCCGCTAAAAAATTCGCCTTAAACAAGACGATCTTCCACTTTTTCCAGGTGTCAACTGCCCTGATCTGAGGCAACCAGTTAATGGTTCAATAACGTGCGATACGTCAGCCATCAATCCCTTCTGTGAAGCGAAATGTGATGCCGGTTTTGAATTTCTGAAATCTCCCCCCGAGCAATATGTTTGTGGAGCGGACGGAGGGTGGATCCCTACTGACAACGTCCCGGATTGCCATCGTAAGTGACGTAAAGACTCCCGCCAAGGAAGTGATATTTTTGCCTGCGTTGATTTGTTAGATAAATATTTTCAGTCTAACTCAAAACGTCATGGGCAGATTTTGATGAAATTTTCAGGGTGGCTAAGAAATGCTTGCACTTATGATCAATTCGATTTTGGGGGCGACATTAAAAACAG